ACTCTCATTTTCATCTCACTTTTATCCTCAAAATGCCTTTATGAGATAAATTTTGTTGTCCATGTTTAAATGAAACTGAGTTGAGAAAAGTCAGTTCACTTCCCCAAAGTTAAATGTCTACAATAGGCCTGACCACAGAAATGACTCAAAGTGTAATATTCTTTCTACAACTTCATACTGTTTCTAAGCTAAAAGCAAACACATAAACAGAAAACAGCAGCACACGTTTGAGATTCACATTAAAAGTATACTTATGTAATAAAAGATGAGATATTTTTAAACAAATAAAAGATCATATATTCATTGAATGAGTACTAACTTGTGCAAAGCAATTTGAAAAACTGTTGCTGCATTTCAATAATCCTACCATCATTTAAAGCATTCCAAAACTCCTCTTTTGAAATTGCTTTCTGTATTTTTTAAGAATATCTTCATCAATGTCAAAGATTTAACCATTAAGAATAGCTTTGCTATTGGAAGCAGCCAAAAGATATGGCTCTATCACTGGGAAAAATCTCTCACTTCTCAGCATAATTATTTTGAAAGAAAATCTCATTGGGGTATAAACATTTTGGTAGATTTGTTAAAATCCTTCTTATAATTAAAATTTAAATCACAACTCCACTGTCAACACATTCTTCATAAAACATGTATGCAATTAATTTTTGCCCTGCATGATAAATTAAACTTACTTTCAGTAATATAAAATAATCAGCTTTATAAAATAACCATGGATTGTCCTATGTTGCTTTGTTCCAAAAGGCTGTTCAGATTCTGAGCATTCAGCAGGAACACTGTAGATAAGCTTTAGAAATGATAGTAGAGGGACCTTTCTTCTGCAATAATGAGAATAACCCTGATGTGAGATAAGAATTTAGAACGAAGAGGCCTGGAAGGGTTCTACTTCCAGGCTGGTCACTAACAAACCATGAATCTGAGCAAGTTACCTGCCCACTTGGGACCTCATTTTCCTGATCTGCCAAATGAAAGGTTGGCCCAAATCGTTCCAAGATTCCTTCCAGCAATAACCTTCTATGATCTCAGCCCTCTGTGTCCATAAGTGGTCTGATTCGAGGCTTTCAAAGGCACATTTTAATACTTTCAGATACTACCAAGCCGTCTCAGTTAACAGGTAATACTTTATAGAAGAGAATTGGATTAAGCATTCCTATAGGACTTCTGCGGAGGCCCAGTTAAATACCCATTCACTCTGGAGACATCTCGGTGG